CGACACATATATTCATAACAGGATGTTGACCCAGTTCCTTGTTATTTAGAAGCAGATTATCTGATTCTTTTAAATAATTATTAACTAGCCTGTGGCTGTTCTTATTATAGTACTTAAACTCCTGTGCAAACCCTGATTTTTTGTTGATGATGCACAAACCAGCCCCTCCCATCCTCCATAAATTTTATATAAGATAAAACTTTTACATTTCTGTGCTCAGTCATTGCATCACGACCCAGCTCCTTCTGTGCCTTTCTTAGTGTCAAATAACATGTCAGAGACTCAAAGTTTAGTTGTCTACAGTGCCATTGTGATAGTTCCTTCCAAACTTATATAGGATAAGTTCATATAGAGAATATGATGGCTCTGTTGACTACAATTAATGTTGTTGGAAAGGACCTCAATAGAGGTGGAATTGAACTACTCAGAAGTTCAATAATGGCTATTTACAATTTTCTATGGATTCATTCAGTTGATCTTTTCTTGTTTTCCCACGCCTCGAGCTATGAATTTACAAATGAAATACCTAGTAGCAAATTGACTTTGAGGAACCTGCACCACATAATGGAGAAAAGTTGTGGGTCTTATAGGTTGAAGCAATCTCTCAATGGTCTCTTCTTAATTTGACATCACCAATAGACTGGAAGAGTTCTTTTTAAAACTCCTTGGACTATGAACCAAGCCACATTTCCATAGCCAAGCCTGAACTTATAGAGTGGTCCTAACCCTTCAAAACCATGTCCACTATTCATCGTGACACTAGGAATTAAGATATTTTGATTTATGAAAATGAGTACTCAGTGAACTGTGAAAGATGGTGCTAACTGCTTTGATTTTGCATTCCATTTCTTACTCTGGTCGTCTTTGGGCTGACATATTACGAGAATATCAGTTCTGGTTCAGGGGTTAAGCAAAAGCATCTAGTAAACTTTAGATATCCAAGAATCAAGAGAATCCTTGTATGTATAATTATGCTGTGTTATTTGAATGGTTTGAAAGCTGTTCGTTGCTGTGAAGGTTTGAGCTAATACTCGTTTACTTTGTGAAGTTAATGAACTAGCTTACTACTGTTTTTTTACTCGTGTTAACTGCTCTTCTACAACAGATCACCCTTTACTTGTTTGATTGGTTTACTTTGTGTTTTAACTGATGGTAGATGTGAATAACAGTTAGAAAGTACGTCGAAAAATGCAATGGTAAGAACATACTAATATAGGGGCTGAAAGACCGAAAGGCGAGTGAGACCGAGTGAATTGCTTGGGCTTCGGAAAGGACTTAAAAGGCATATTTATTCCTTGTTATTCATCTATTTTCTTAAGTATGTATATACTTAATGATGAAGTCCTGTATGTATGTATCTGGGTTCACCCCTTGAGTAGTTCTATATGTGTCACACTAAGATATATAAATGGGATAAAGATTTATTTAACTCAAATATTATATTATTAATCGTAGATACTACTAAACCATTAAAAGTTGGCATCTTCTATGTCTAACTTCACTTGTTTTATTATTTTTTGAATTTTTCTTAATGTTTACTATTAAAAACTTATTTGAAAAATGTGGAATAATTAAAAAAATTTAGATGAAACATTTTATCAGAAAAGCGTAAAAAAAGTCGTTTTGTGTTTGAATGGATTTAAAATGGTGTTTTTGGTAGGATATAAAAAGTTAAAAACATACTCAACTCCTCAATCCCCACCACTTCATAGTGTGGTGTAACAAATTTTAATAGGGTTTTTTTTAAGGAACCACCCTAAACTTAGACTCTATTTCATGTTACCGTCCTTAGTTATCCGAATTTTAGAAATCCCCCTAACATAGAGCCACTCGTGCCCTTTTTGATTCAATCTTCCTTCGAAAAAAATTATAGTGACCATTTTACCCCTACATAGATTTAATTTCATTGAACTTTGTGATTAAAGTTAAATACGCTAAAGTTTTTAGGTTTGATACCCCACAGTATTATTTTGCCCAACCCAAAAAATACCATAAAGTTACTTCACATTTTACTATGAGCTAAAATTTTTTTAGCCCAAAAATGCCCTAAAGTTCAACAAAAATTAACTTTGATACTCAAAAGTTCAAAATTAAACCTGTGTAGGGGTAAAACCGTCAAACTATAAAATTTGTGAATCTGTGATGGAAATGGATGGAAAAGATCGTGAGTGGTCATATGTTAAACATAATGGTAGATAGGAGCGGTCTTAGAAATTTGAGTAATTAATGGTGGCAACATGAAATAGGTTCCAAGTTAGGGTGGTTCCCGTGAGAAACCTGATGATGACGTCTATATACATGCACGTGACTTTCGCCGTGTTTATCAACGCAGGAGACGTTGCGTTTCAGCATTATGGTTTTGATTTTTAGTCAAGGTTATCGATAGCGGATAGCGTCACGTAGCGGTGAGGTATCGCTAAGGCTATTTTGGGCTATTGCGGCAAAATAACGGTAAAAAACGCCAAGTCAAATAGCGGTCTAATTTAGATATGTATAAATAAAAAAAAAGAAAATTAAAGAAAAATCTAAGAAATCTAAAAGCACATATTGGATGATTTAAAGAGATCCTAAACATGAAATAGACATGTAACCATTACGTAATACCGAAAATGACTGGAAGAGTCAAAAAGTAGTCGTCTTCAAGAAAAAGAGCTTAGCGATGATAGGACTGTCCTAAGAGGAGCTCACGGTAAAGGAGGTGAGAGAAAGTATCAAGGTAGGTGCCAGAGGCTATGAGAGGTGGCAGGAGTATGCTGAAAATCACAAGAGATGGTGGAATGCAATGGTCAATGGTTGAGTTTAATTTTAAAAAATAAGCCTCAAACCGCTTTTAAATAGCAGTCAAAAAGCAAATTTCGAATGCAATCGTTCACTATTTACCATTATGACACACTATTAGTCGTTTTTGCGAACAGACATATTCCGTAATATGTCACCGCGATAGCGTAGCGGGTGATAACGTCGCGGGAAGAGACTGCTAACGCTATTAGCGCCGTTATTGCGGGGTTTTTTACCGCTATTTATAACAGTGTTTTTAGTTAGTAGTATTTCAGTTATAATAGTTAATTTGAATTTTAAATTTTTGAATTTTAGTTTTGATTTGGTAGTTAATCAGTTTTAGTAACTGATTGATTGTGATTGATTATGAGAGATTTTGTGAGATTTAAAAATCTGTAATTTTCTCTATTTAAGCACTAAGGGATATTGAAGAATGAAAATTATTTGTATTAGGCTAATTAATTGGTGTGAAACCCTAGGTTAATATTCTTAATCTTCTTCTTTCTCCAGCCGCCAAACTTCTTCTTCCTCCACGTAAACAACTCCCAAATCCACAATCGAACCCATCTCCCTTCTCCCTCCGACCATCAGCACCGCCTTCCTCCCTCTTCTTCATCCTAGCAGACGCCCAGCCCTCTCCTCCACCACCAGCCGAGCTCTCCTTGCAACCCTCAGCGAACTCAGCATCATCCTCATCCACAAACTT